TGGATGGATGGATGGGTGGATAGATGGATGGATGGGTGGATGGATGGATGGGTGGATAGATGGATAGGTAGATGGATGGATGGATGGATGGGTGGGTGATAGGTGAGTGGGTGGATGGATGGATGGATGGGTGGATAGGTGCATGGATGAATGGGTGGGTGGGTGGATGGGTAGATGGATGGATGGATGGGTGGGTGGATGGATGGATGGATGGATGGATGGATGGATGGATGGAAAGAAAGGAGAAATGGCTCTTGGGCATCAGGCATTCTGATTGCCACTTGACTCCCAAGTCCCTTTCAGATCCTTTTCCCAACATTTTCTTGTCAATGTAGTTTGGAAACCAGGTGGCAATCAAAGTGCCAGATGCTCAAGGAACTATTCTTTTTTCTCTTTTCTTCCATGTATTCATCTATCCAACCCCCATTCTGTCTTCTTGTCTGTCCATCCACTTTTCAACCTACTCACCAACCCACTGCCATCCATCCTGCCACCCTTTCATCCATCAACCTAACAACACCTGAAATGCCATCGACCCAACTTCCACATGATGATAATTACACTTCATCTGAGAGGTACAGAGCCAGCTTAAGATCTTTATTTTTCCTTGTGTGAACATCACAATAGCCCAGGCTTTGAGATTCAGCAGTGGGCTACAGGATCAAACACCCGGGACTGAGAGGACTTAGCTGGGCCACCTGAAATTGTTTTAGAGATAACAGTAGGAAGGCGTGTTCAGGGGCAGCAGTGATTCGAATGTGAGTTAAGTACCAAGGAAGATTGAATCACACCTATTTTTCTTTAACAGTCTTTATCTGAGCTGCCCCAGTTTCATAGAATAATAGGAATGAAATTAAACCTGAGCAGCTCAACACAGAGTAATTAATTATGCCTTGATTCAATTACAGTTACTAATAGATGGGACTGATGCATAAGGTAGTCATTTGCACAACGGCAGTTAGAGCTATGGGTCCCAGTAGTCTCCTGGTCAAATGCTGCCTGGAATCTGGTCACACTCCCTTTTCTTATCCTGCAGGAAGATCTCAGGCCACTCCCTGTGGTCATGGGGGCTGCACAGACCCCAGCCCATGTCAGTAGACCCACAGTGATGTGTACCCCCAGCCCCTGGAGACAGGGATTGGATGCCCTGAGTACCCCTGCTGAGGGAGCTATCTTATTCCTCCGTTTAGCCAAAGCCACTTGCTACCTTGGTGGTTCACTCCCTGGGTTCACATTAACGTCACCTGGGGAACTTTGAGGACAATACGGTCCAGGGCCCCAGACCAGCCAGAGTGAAAGAATGTGCAGAGCTGGTGCCCAGGCGGGCCAATCAGATCAGGCAGGCGTGGGCCAATGAGTGAGAACCACTGAGCGTGGCCCCTGGGGAGGTGGACAGGGAGCTTTCTTACCTGCAGCTGTCTGCTATGGAGAAGGTGCTGGTCTCGACAGGGTCCTGAGGAGGCTGCTGCTCTCTCTCAAACTCCAAAAGAAATGCATTGCGACACAAGGCTGGTGGCTTTGTTCTTGATTGGAGCCACATCAGCAAAGCCGGGGGAGCCTCCGTGCTGCTGAGCTGAGAACGCCCTTCCCTCCCTGTCCTCACCCAGGCCTCTCTCTCGTGGTGGGCCTGGTGCTCTACATCTCCAGCATCAACGATGAGATGCTCAACAGGACCAAGGATGCAGAGACCTACTTCAACTACAAATACGGATGGTCGTTTGCCTTTGCTGCCATCTCCTTCCTTTTAACAGAGGTAACCTGCCCTGCTGCCTTGTGCCACCCTGGGCGGGGTGGAGCTGGGCTCTGCCCCATTGGGCCAGGGGAGGGAAGGTAATCCACCGGCATCCTGGACCACCCGCTCCACATCCCTTCCCGTTCCCAGAGTGCGCCACGCTCTGGCCTTTCCACACCTCCTCCATCTGGGCCATCTCTAGGCCCGCTCCTGTCCCCACACCCACCAGCCACCCCTCGCGATGTGTGCGTCCTCCTTGGCTGCGCGCCACGCAGACCCCGGCCAGACCCCAGCGGTGAGCACTCTTCTGCCTCCTTCTCCCCGCAGAGTGCGGGCGTGATGTCAGTGTACCTGTTCATGAAGAGGTACACCGCCGAGGACATGTACCGGCCCCATCCCGGCTTCTACCGCCCGCGTCTGAGCAACTGCTCCGATTACTCCGGCCAGTTCCTGCACCCGGACGCCTGGATCCGGGGCCGCAGCCCCTCCGACATATCCAGCGACGCCTCCTTGCAGATGAACAGCAACTACCCAGCCTTGCTCAAGTGCCCTGACTATGACCAGATGTCTTCTTCCCCCTGCTGAGCCCTCCCAACTCCCAGCTGGGACTGAGGACAGCCGAGAAACCCGACCTTTCCCCCTGCCCGGCCCTGAGCCCCCGGCCACCTCCTGCTTAGCCGTGGTTCCTTGACCTTCTTCTCTCCCTGCTTTTCCCAAAGCAACTCCAGGGCACATCCCGTTGGAGCCTAGAGCCAAGGAGGACGCTGATTGGCCAAGAACATGGGCAAAGAAGCCCCTCTGGAGTGCCAGTCCCTGCAGTGGCTCTGGGAAGCCAGCACCCCCACGCCAGCAGGGGACTGTGTTCCGCTTGGTTATTGTTTGTGAACTCCCATCTTGACGGCCCCAGCCAGGGCCACCTCTGACATGCCAAGTTCCTGACACACACGCAGCCGGCCTCGGGGGCCTGCCAAGTGGCCTGGCCCCCCTGTTCATGATCTGGGCGGCGAGGACCGATGGTGGCTCTGATAGGGAGGTCAGGATGACCCAGAAACATCCTTTGTCCTTTCTTGTCACCCATGTCCCTCCGCAAAAGGCACCTGTCTATGCACCCTGGTTCCCAGGGTGCGGCCCCTTCCTCCTCCCAGTCCCCGACAACTCAGAGTCCCCGGACCGGGGCTGGGGCGGGGGTCCGCGGCAGTGCTAAGTCACACAGAGGTGTTAATGGCTGAAGATGTCTTAATATACACGGCCCCTTGATGACATATTTAATCGGGCCTTTAATGCCTTAACCCGAAGAAGTGACTCTGACAATGAGACTCCGAGAATTTGGTTGGTCTGAGCCTGTAGTGCCAGGCACCGTGTCCAGCCCTCGGGGCACTGCCCTTGCACACAAGGGCCACGTTTCCCATCCAAGGCCCTAAATCTACTCACGCAGACAGGAGTCTCTGCCGCCTAAGCAGAAAGCGGCTTTCACGGGGGCTGCATGGGATTTGGAGCCAGATTGGGTGACACCTGGTGCACTTTGAGCCTAAACAAGCCAGCCTCAGAGTGATCCAGCTGCCCTCCCCAGGGTGCTGTGAACACTCGGGGGTTGCCAATTTAACCCTAACAGAGGGGACCATCTACTCCCCTGTTAGGTGGCGTGCAGCGAGTGAGATGCCTCCAGAAGACTAGGTAGCGTGGTGTCTGTTTTCCGGGTGAGAAACTGACCCAGAAGCTTGTCAGCACCTTCTGTGAAGCCCGCAGGAGAAAACCAGCAAAGGACCCCTCGGTTCTCCAGGTGCCAGCTCAGCTTGTACAGTTTTGACTTTGAGGTTTTGAGTAGCAAAACCATGTCATGCTGTTTGCTGCATATTTTTGCCACATCTGCTTTCCTTTTGCTGTCTTTAAGACACCACTGGGTCCTGCGTACACAAAGGCAGGGTGGGCAGCTCTGGGGCTCCAGCAAGCAGTAGAGGAACCCAGCCAGCTGGTGGCTCCTGAAGGGCCCTGTGCTAGTCAGCTTAGGCTGCTGCGAACTACTCAGACTGAGTGGCTCCAGCAATAGAAATTTACTTTCTCACGGTTCTGGAGGCCAGAAGTCCACAGTCAAGTTATCTCCCGGCCTGGCTTCTTTGGAGGCCCCTCCCATGGCTTGCAGGTGGCCACGTGCTCTGCCCTCACCTAGCCTAACGCACCTGTACACCTGAGGTCTCTGGTATGTCTGAATTCTCTCGTATGAGAATACCAGTCAGCCTGAAGTCCCAGACCTCTGGGAGGCTGACCCAGGAAGATAGCAAGTTTGAGCCCAGCCTGGGCAACTTAGTGACCTAACAAAGGCCCTGGGTCCAATCCCTAGTACAGAAAAAAAAGGTGGGAAGGGGGAAAATTGGATTACTGGGTTAGGGCCCATCCTGATTTGGTAGAGGACTAATTTTAATTTAATCATTTCTTTCACCGCCCTGTCTCCAAATATAGTTGCAGCCTGAGGCGCTGGGGATTAGGGCTTCCGCGAATAAATGTGGGGGATGGCACAGTTCACCTCAGAACAGGCGGGTTCGGTCAAACCTGAGTGACTCCGTGTGTCTCACACCACGGTACATGGGAAAAATAAGAGAGGCCAGTTTTTGTCTCAGTTCAACCACTAACTCACCATGGACCCTTGGGCAACCCTTTCTACTCTGAGGAACTTGGTGGAAATGGTCTCCAAGACCAATCCCCACACAACCACCCAGGCCCCTAATGATTCAGGTCGTCTTTCTCTCACAGGCAAATTTTCAGCCCTTGCTTGTAACTGAGAAATCACCATGCCTCAGCTTCCTACTCCATGGACCCTTGCAGTGACTGTGGGCCCCTTGGCTATTATTCACAGAGTAATACCTAAGCTACCATGTCCCCAGGATGAAGGCATGGTCAGCGGGCTTGGAGATGGCCAGGTAGCGTTTCCAAGCTGGACAGTTGCTTAGATGTGCTAAACTCCAATTTTTGTCAGTGTAATTCACCCATAGGATACACTTTTTCTCTGTCACTGTGTTGGGCTTGTTTATGTGCACGTGAAGAAATAGAATCCGGGGACTGGGGATTTAGCTCAGTGGCACAGCACCTGCCTGGCAAGTGTAAGGTCATGAGTTCGATTCCTGGTACCAGAAAACAAACAAACAAACAAACAAAAAAGAAATAGAATCCACTTATAAATACAAATTGACTGTTGGCTGTGACATCATAGGATGGGCTTTGCCCAGCCAGAAGGCTGAGCTTCCAGTCAAGGAGCTCTCACTGGGAACATGCAAGTCACATTTCTCTGAGGGACAAGTTCTGGGTCATTTTCTTCTCTCACAGCAGGCTGGGTAAATGTGTCGATAACCATTGCTATTCCACTCCATCTACAACTTAGTCTCGGAACCAAGGCCTATCTGTAGCCTCTCCACAATCAAAAAATTGTAGTCAAACATTTGTGCATAAACTCAACTCAGAAATCATAGAGGAGGGCCTCTTCCTTACTGTAATTTCTATGCTTTTATTTCCATAAGCACTGGGAAAAAAACAACTTTGGTAGAGTTTTCTTTTCCACCTTCAAAAAACGAGAGGATAATATCAAAGTGTCACAAATTAGGAAATAAAATGACTCCAAGCCACCAAGAGGGAACAGTGCCGGCGTTGGGTCACTCCCATCTGACACTCACCACCCTCCTTCTTACCCCATGGGTGAGTCAGTCACATTCCCCGCCCCCTACCCATTAGGGAATAGTCTGTTTTCAAAGAGGGAGGCACTGGGGGCAAATCTATGCATGCCACAGGCTTAGCAGCAATATGCTCAGAGGTCCCTGTGTGAGCTGTCTCTTCTCCCTGGATAAAAGTGGTCTATTGGAGTTCTCTGGCAAGCAGAACCAACGGGATGTCAAGGGAGAGAGAGAGACTCAGGGAACCGGCTCACACAACTGTGAAAGTGGGGCGAGTCCAGCCAAAATCTGATGGGAGAGGCTGGCAAGCTGGAGACTCAAGAAGGAGTCACAGTTCAAGACCAGAGGCAGCTTCTCCTTGCCCTGGACAGGCTCAGTCTTTGTGTTAGACTGTCAACTGATAGGGCGAGGCCCACCCACACGGCGGAAGATAACCTTGTTTTTCAGCGTCCACCGACGTAAATGTTAACCTCATCCCCACACCACCTTCACGTAAACATCCACAAAAATGTTGAACCAAATATCTGGGCACCTGGCCCAGACACAGAAAATTCAGCCTTTTAAAATATTTATTTATTTATTTTTGATGCAAGGTCTTGCTGTCCCAAGACTAGGCTCAGCTTGAACTTGTGGTCCTCATGCCTCAGCCTTCTACAATGCTAGAATTGCGGGTGTGCACCACATACCTCGCTATGAACCCACTCTTGCACGCTAATAAGACCCTTGGGAAGTTAATTACTCTTCAGAACACAAACACTCCTGAGTGGTGAGAAGTGGATGAATGAGTGGACCCGGCAAATGTACTCGTGCTCCAGCGAGGACCAACTGGGACCCGGCTGGTACTCGTCCCAGGATGTAGGAGGAATGAAAGTGTCCTCTACCCCCTGGGGGTAGAGGTGTAAGCTGTACCAGGCCAGAGTCCCAGCAGCACCCCAACAGGCGGCTGCCAGATGTGCAGAGGAGTTGAAGAAATCGGTCAGGTGCCCTCCGTGCCCTCCAGGAGCCGCTTCTCCCGGGAGAGGTGCTGAGGCCTCAGTCCTTTGTTCCTACCAAGCTAAGGTCTCTGGACTCTCACATCCCTGTAGCACTGCAGATCGCTCCCTCCCTGGCCTGCCTCAGCTTTCTGGTGTGTAGGACCCGGATGCCCCTGCTCCGTCTCTGGAGCTAAGGTTCTGTGCCTGGGGAACCCGCCCTTGGGAACTTTCCCTGCAGGCTCCAGGGAAGCCGTGTCTCTTGTTCAGAGGCCTGAGCTCCCAGCAGGTGCTGCTCCAAGCTCTGTGTCCCCACCAGCCCGGGTCCTCTGTTCTTTCTGTGATAAGAGTGCTGGACAACGTCACCTCCAAGCTCTATCCCAACTCCAAAGGATGTAGGTGTCACAGGCAAAACCCAACAGAGATCAAGCGGTGTGCCCCCCGCCCCTGCTCCCCACTAGCAATACCCAGGTGACACCCCCAAACAGTGGGGCGTTTCACTAACAGTTTCGGTACTGGGGCAAGGGCAGAGAAGAACAAAATCACACATAACAGAGTGCAAGCGGCAGGCAGCTGGGGGTGGGGGGGGAAGAGGTGAGGGAGGAAGCAGAATTCGCTGCCCTGTTCCTTCCTTTCTGCCCCAGGGGAAGGGAAGCTATGGCTAGCTGCCGGGGGTGAGGCCCTGGGTCAGCCAACTCCAGGAGTTCAAGAGAAGGCTCAAGACCAAGAGGTACTGCTGTCATGCTAAACACAGGACAAAAAGATGCTTCCTAGCTGGAAGCCATCCAAAATGCATCTATGTTCAAACTTGCACCACCCCAGCCACTCACTCCGGGCAAAGTGGTGGCACTCGGGGCCTCGGAGTCTCCTTCCTCAAGAGGGGCAGCATCCTCAGCGTCTCTCCCCTGAGGAGAGAGCCGAAGTGAGGACTGAGATGAGGCCTCTCGGGGTGCCTGGTGGAGGAAGTGAGCTGACCTGGGGCTGCTTGCTTGCGCAGTCTCCATCCCTGTGACCCGAGCTTAGCTGGCTTGTCGCGTGTCTCAGGCCTGCTCTGAGACCCCTCATCCTGCTCCTGGCCTAGGAGGGGCTTTTCTTCCCACGCCACTTGCTTGCTTTCTGTTTGCCAGCAGGAGGAGCAGTTCGGCCTGCTTAGGGGGAAAATTGACACAGATCACTGTTCTCCCAGCCCAGAGTCTCATGTGGTTCTTGTGTGGGGCTTGAGGGCCTGGATCTCTAATAAACTTCCAGGCGACGTCAGAACTGTGATATGCTCTAGGCTCCAGGAACTGCCTTCCAGACATGTGAGTGGTCTCAAAGTTCTCCAGAGCGTTTTAATGGGAAGCCAGTGTTGTGGAAAAACTGGCTTAGATCTACCAGGGTTTGTCAGTGAAGCTAGGGGTAAAGCCACCTTCCCCTGGGTCTACTTGGGGAGTAATGGCTTTCCAAAGAAAATACAGGACAGAAAGAGTAAAATGGGGCCGGGTGGGCTTTGCGGGAGCCTGAAGAATCCCCCCTCCATTGCTTTTGCTCCCTACCAGCCTCCACAGGCCCCCCTCCTCAGACAAGGTTGTGCCCTGGGCAAGAGGTCAAGGCCATGGCTGGTGTCCAGCTTCGCTGCTCCTGAGCCCACTCCC